ATTATATAATGTATAATAGTATTTATTATTTTAAATTCTTAAATTTTATTTGTGGATTACTTAACTAATTACTTAATTTTTAGTTTAAGTAATTTTGTCAATTAATTAGTTTTTTATTAGTTTAGTAAATTTGCTTTTGTCATTTTGTTTTTGTTTCAAATATTTTATGTGGCTTTAATACATTTTTATTTACATTTTCATTTTAGACATTTTAGTATTTCATTTTAGTGCCAAGGCAACATTTAATATTTTTTTTTATTATTATTAAAAAAACAAATTCATCTAATATTTGTTTTATTTCAGTGAAAGAAAATGATTCTCAATTTCAATTTTAATAATAAATACACTGAATTTTATAAATCCAAATCAATACTGCAAGCTGTTTCACTTACGTTCATATTCCTGAGCAAATAAAAGGCACTCTTTAAACCTGGCATTAATAAGCACTTTGTATCCGGACGGTGGCTGTATAATCTTTGTTATTGTTACTTAGAGATCTGATTGCACTTTCCCACTCGAAATGAGAGACGGCACATGCATATACATTACACTTAAAATTGTCAATTAAATATAAAACATAATTTAAAATAATTCTTCAAGATGCTTTCTGTCACTTTGGCAGATAAAAAATAAGTGATCTATTTTATCCGTTAATCTATATTGCTCTAAGTGCTTTATAATGTCAGGTGTAAAGGGGGCCAAAGTGTATTTCTTCTGCATGTTTTCCGTTTAACATGTTTTTTTGTTTGTTGTGTTGTCAGTTTGAGGAGCTGAAAAGGGCAAAGTTAAAGGACATGAACATTTATGTGTCTAAAACACGGTTGTGTGTTCATAACCTGCCTAAGAATGTGGATCAACAGAAACTTCAGAAGCTCTGCCTCTCTGCTGCTGGTGGTAAAGGGGTCCGCATTACTGAGGTAAAGTACTGCTTTTCTCTTCCAAGTGCTAGAAAAAAACAACTAATAGCAAACCAAAATTCAAAACAATGTTGAATAAATAAATAAATAAAGTAGTATTCTCACAGTTCTTCCTAGCAACACTAGAGGGCAGAACTGTTATTTGGGTAGGATCAGGAGGTTTCACGGTCTAGTGCAGGGATCCTCAAATCTGGCCCACAAGATCCACTTTCCTGCAGAGTTTAGCTCTAACTCTAATCAAACACACCTGAGCATGCTAATCAATGTCTTCAGGATCATTAGAAAATCACAGGTAGCTGAGTTTATCAGGGTTGGAGCTAAACTCTGCAGCGCATTGGACCTCCAGGGCAAGATTTGAGGAACCCTGGTCTAGTGTGTTAGTTAGTCATCCAAGAAAGTCTTATTTAAAGGCACAATTGTTGTAGTTCATGAAACAGCTTTTGCAGGGTTCTAACCCAACAACCTTGTGGTTGCCTATAGGTTTAAGGTGGTGTTTATTTTAGGGCTGGACGATATGGCCAAAATTGATATCACGATATATTTCTTAATTTCGGTCGATACGATATAATTCCGATATCGATATGAACACTATTTATCTGAAATAGAAATCTTTTGTAACATTATAAATGCCTTTATCATCACTTTTGATCAATTTTAAGCATCCTTGCTAAATAAAAGTATAATTTCTATAATTTCTTTCCC